AGTTTTAGTTAAAAAATGTTTACTTTTTTGGAAAACAGCTGCTTAGCTACTACGCTATTTAAGTCCATGGTTCACAGATAGGGATTCAACATTTTCAAACACAGAATATTGTTCCGCAATAGAATTAACAGGTGCCTTTTTCATAGTCCCTAAAAACTCAAATAAATAATTATCCAGCCTCAATTTAACAATACCTCTAATTCAGAAATAGAGATAACAAATTTATTTAATAAGGAGTAACTCACCTTCAAGAAATAATGACTAAGTAATTATTGTGTTGTCAATAACGGCCGTAGCAGCCGCTATAGCGGTATAGCGTAGCGGCCAGCTATGGTCACTATGAAAAATCTCCATAGCGTAACGGGTGAATAATAGTGGCTGCTATGACCGCTAATAGTGGCCACTATACAAATAGCGGGTAGCAGGTATAGCGGTTGCTATTTAAATTTCTTGACTTTTTTTGTCAAATTACCATGTTAACCCCACATCCAGAGTTTAAGTTAAGAGCTTTCAAGGTTAATTTTGTCTTTTCAACTTTTCTATTTATAAATTAAAGAAAAAAAACCCTAAAACAACTTATCACATCTGTTCTCCACACTTCCCGCGCACTCCTCTCGACTCTCCTCTACTTGTCTACCCTCACGAGTTTCGGTGCCTATATTCTCTCCTACTTTGCACACCATCTAGTCTCCTCTTAGTCCCCATCAGCCATAGCAAGAGTTGAAGAGTGCAAGGCAACTCTCAGTCTCACAGCTCACCCCTTCACACCCCCTGTAACTGGAGTTACTGGACAGCGATTAAGCACTGATCTGTACACCATATCGTCTCCGATTTCAGGTAATCTTTCAAGTAAGCACTGATCTTACTTGACAACGATTAAGCATCTTATAATTTTTTTTTTTTTTTTTTGGCTTTGGTTCTGCTTCCGCAAGTGCCATCTCTCTCTTTTTTCTTTTTCTTTTTTTTTTTTGACACCAGATTTTTTGGTTTTGGTTCTGCTTCTGCAAATACCGTCTCCCTCTTTTTTTTTTTTCTGACACCAGAACAAAAAGTTGGAATTAGAAATAGAAAGTTAGACACAAAAGCATGTGACAATTATTTTTTTCTTTGCTTGGTTCTGCTTCTGCAATTGCGCCTCTGTTTCTCTTTTTTTTTTTTTCTCTATTGAAGCAACTAGCAAGTTTATATTACAATTATACTAGGGGCAAGAGAAATTAGAACTTATACTAGGGGACAAGCAAAAAGAAATGCAACTGCAGCCTTGACCTCTCAAATTCCATCACTAACCTTTAGAACTCCGGCCACAGCCTCTAGTGTTGATGCAGTTTATGCTACTAGAATTAGTGAAGAGGCTCATACTTTAGGTCTTGAAAGTCAGAGGAGGAAGAAGAGGAGTTTGAGCCTCGTGGACGACAAGGATGATGATGATTTGGTGGTTGAGCAAGAAGAATTACAAGTAGAAGAGAGTGATGAGGATTATTAGACTCTTAATGATTTTCTGTTTTAAAGTTCTATTATCTGACTTCTTTCTGAACTGATCTTCGTTGACTTTTGTACTCTTTAAGTCTTTTATTGTCTTGTTTGATCATTCTAAACTATGATTTTTATTTGTTGAGACTTGAGAATATTGTTTTTTATAATTTTTGATAATTTTTATAAACTCTTAGGTCATTTTATGCCTTTTATTACTAGATTTGTCTCTTATTTTAATTATTAGATTTATATTTTTATTTTTTTATTAAATGCCCGCTATATAGCGGCCGCTACGCTATCATAGCAGATTTTGGCCTTTCTGCTATTTGCCGCTATCCGCTATTGATAACACTTAATTCTCAATCATTGTATTTCCCATTTGGAGAACAGAAATCATCCTTCTACAACCTAGATGAATATGGGTCAAAGAAGGAGCTACTTCAACAGCTTGTAAAAAATAGATCAAAAACAAAAGGCAAGACTTCAATCATACATGGTTTTTGTTTCCCATTGGAAGTTAAGTATGAGTTAAATAAGAAAGTTAGAGAGCATCAAACCTTTAGCGAATACAAACTCACTTCTTTTCCCACTATTGCAACTCATGCCTAAAATTAATAGAAGCTGTTTTCATAGTTTGTTAAAAAAATAAAAAATAAAAAATAAAAAGACCTAATTAGAACCAAAAGTGATAATCATCCAATCTCAATTTGACAATCCTTCACATTCAAGAACACAAGTTGTTCAGAATCAAAGATGAAAATCACCTTAAGTGAAAATAAATGCTAAATCATCTTGGCCCAAATGCTCCTGTTAAGGACGTGCACAATGAAAATAGTATCAGTCTCCATAGATTTTGTCTAAAAAATTTGAAGGGAATGAATTACTAATAACTGCAATTCTAACTCTTTATCTATTTCACCCTAACATAAGAACAGAAAGTCTTGTTCATGTTTTACTCATAACTATGAGGAAAAGAGCAGCAAATATTAAAAATATTAAATAAGTTCTTCTTGGGCCCCGTTAATTGTCCCACATGATATGAAAGGGGATAACAACTAACTTATATTTTTCTTATTTTTCTCCTTCCACTGTTTCTCTATAACCAGACAAGGGAAGAGTACTGTTAACTATTTTGCTTTCATTCTCTTTTTCTCTGCTGTCTTTTCTTGTTTTTTTGTG